CAGGTAGCACGGATCCATCCACCCTCCAACTCCTGGGATACATTTGCAGGTCATGTGTTCTGGCAATTTTCTGTCATCTCATAGCTACAGAAGCCTTCATCCATAGTGGACCCTTTGCTCCAGGGGAATAGAATAATATAATTCTCTTATGGGGAATAGAATAACACCTATTATATATTCTGAAAATATTACGGTGTAATAGAAACAGGTCATTCTTGTTGACACCAGCCATTAACAATCTACAGATGGGGTGCCTGGGTGGCTCAGGCAGGTAAGCATCCGACTTCAGCTCAGGTCATGATCTGAGTTCGTGAGTTTGGGCTCCGCATCAGGCTCTGTGCTGACAGCTCCAAGCCTGGAGCTTGCTTTGGATTCTGTGTCTCCCTCTCTCTCTGCCCCTCCCCTGTTTGCACTATGTCTCTCTCTCAAAAATAAATAAGCATTAAAAAAAATTAACAACCTACAGAGAAAGCTCCATTGCTTCTAAGAATAGCTACGTAGTGTCTATCATGTAAAAGAGGCCCAGTAAGTTTTTCATGAAGTGAATGACTACTTTGCTATTTTCATTTCTATTTTGGTAGTCTTATCATTTTCCGGCTGACATTTGAGAGAGCCTTATACACACTTTCCAGAGCTGATCCACTAAGAGATGCTATGGTTGGCTATCCAAAGAGTCATTCATCACCATCCCTCTCTTCAAGAGGCTGGAAATTCTTATGCTTGCCTCCCTAACCATCCTTACAGCTGGGGGGGGGGGGGGGGTCATGTGGCAGAGACTACTGGAGAAGAAAGCTAGTGGAGGCTTCTGGGAAAGCGTTTGCTTCCCTGATAGAAGAGACCAGTGCGTGTTGCCATGCCTTCCCCTGCTTCTTGACTTGAATGCACATGTAATTTTCAGGGCTAGTCAATCACCTTATCATTATGAGAGAAAGATAAAAACTGTAGAAACTCTGGCCCTGACATCTTTGAGCTGATAAACCCTAAATTACCTATATCCAGATTTTTTATTAAATGAGAAAAAACACTGTTTGTTGAAACCATGTCATAATGATTATTTTCTAGTGCATACTGCCCACAGTATCCATAATACTTTGTGGTAACATAGATCAAGGGTCTGTGTCGTCACTACTTCTGGATTTCTTCAACTTCAAATGAAATTATGACAATTCCTAGCCAAGTTAACACAGTTATTTAAACGTGGGGACAACAAACCCTGTGTATATGTTACTGAAATAAGGGAATAACACATTCATCATCATCTTGGCTATATAATAGCAAACCAAAATTCAGCAGTATTTTGGCTAATATTATATGAGACTTTGGTGCGAGATAAGCATGTGAGTTACTAATCTTTATTTTCCAGTTTATATTTTTCTTTTGTAAGAGTTTACAAAATTAAATTACATACTTTAAGTTCAGATACATGAAACTATTTGCCAGTACTTAAGGTTAATACAACTCAGTGTCAATGATTATGAATGTCTAATTTTATTTTGAAATATTTCATAGCAATTTAAAAATAAATACACAGTTTATATTAAAACATGCTTTTATTAAAGGTTCCAGTTTCACATTGGCTCATAAAAGAATTATAAACTTTTTAAAAAATAAAATCTATATATAGTATAGCTTTTATTGAATTGCAAGAGACAAACTTTTATTTGACTATACATGTAAAATCTTTGGAAACAACAAAATAATGAATTATAATTCCACTTCCTATGTTTCTTCTATGCTCAGATCCCACCACCCCCCACTTCTAGAAGTTGAGTAAGAAAGGCAAGGGAAAAATACAGCAGATGAGTGATTATACGACACACATTCTGATGGAAACCTGGTCAAGTCCCCTAACTTCTCTGGATTCCATAATTTATCCATTGGGTTGGGATACCTGCAGTATCCATGTAAGTAAAAGGATCTGGATTTTAACCACTGATTCTAAGGGTGCTAGTGTGCTCTTGAGTAAACAGATAAAGTTTTTGTTTACATCAAAGGGAATTACTCATACCTAAAAGCTCAACAAATAATTAAAGGCTTAAACTGTGCAATGTTTTCCCATCTTCTCCAGAGGCAACCTCAGTCACAGAGGATTTTGTCTGAGATGTTAATTTAATTCAACCTGAGTACTGATACTTTGTCCTTCAGTTAATAAAGAAAGAGGGAGGAGGGGGAAAAAGAAAATTATTTTTACTGGGAGATAATCTTACATGTAGAAATCTACAACTTCAAATACATCCAACATCAGTCAACAGTAAAATGAAGAGATTTTTAACATTTACAATCTCTCTTTAACACTCTAGCAGTTCATATTATACATAACTGCAACCAGTAAATTCCTGCAATTATTTTTGCTAAGTATTGTGTTAAACTCCAAGGGTTAATCAAGAGTTAGTTATCAATGCACACTAATACTTCATGCAAAAGTATCAGTTATGATAAATTATTTTTTTGTATGAAACTAATGTCCTTAAAAAAGTAGGTAACAAGTACTGAAAACAGTACTATGCCAAGTATTCCCTGTGTAAATGTGTTTCTAATACAAACTAGCTATAAGCTAGAGAAAAATAATCAACCACCTAACAAGGCAGATTATATTTTTTGTTTCATTAACTGCCCTACGAAAATTAATTATATTTAAAGGAAAACTTTTTGGCTATAATTGTTATATTATTAACAACTATAAACTGATTTATTTCTAATGTTCAGAAGTCCCCATTTAGCAAGCATTGAAGGCTCCAGAGATTAGAAAACATTTTGTATTTAAGAGAGCAATTCCATGAAATTCATTACTTCATATTATAAAAACACAAATTAATATATATACTAGAGAACTGTGCTATTAAATACAGGCCACTGGCCCAATGTTGATAATGCACACTTAAAATGTGGCTAATCCAAGGAGCACCTAGGTGGCTCAGTCAGTTAAGCGTCTGACTTCAGGTCAGGCCATGATCTCACGATCTGTGAGTTTGAGCCCCGCATCGGGCTCTGTGCTGACAGCTCAGAGCCTGGAGCCTGCTTTGGATTCTATATCTCCCTCTCTCTCTACCCCTCCCTGCTCCCCTCTTAAAAATAAATAAAGATTTAAAAAAAAATTTTTTTTTAATGTGGCTAATCCAAGTAAGTAAAATACACACGAGATTTCAAAGAATTAGTAAGAAAGAAGAATGTAATCTATCTTATTGAGTTTTCACACTGATTATTTGTTGAAATGATGTTTGGGATCTACTGAGGTAAATAAATTGCATTATTAAAATTAACTTCAGCTGTTTCTTTTTATCTTTTTCATGTGGCCACTGGAAAATTTTAAATTATATATACGGCTCACATTAGTTTTCCATTCTTCTACAGCACTGTACAGAAAGAGCAGACTCAATTATATGTTAATAGTAATCCCAACCCATATCATTAAATTTTTGTATAATTATGGTATTTCAGATAACATATTTAAAACATTACCACGAGGTACCTGAACTTAGAATCTACTCTTAAAAACAAAACCAAATAAAACCTCCTGTAATCGTTCTCATCCCCTATATGCTGGCAACTATGCTAAACTTTGGTTAGATATGAGTCTGCAAACAGGCAAAGGGATCTTTTTGGTTGATGGAAATGTTCTAAAGCTGGATTGTGGTGATGGCTGCACAATTATAGATGTATTCAAAAATTACTGGATTCTATACTTACAACCAGTAAGTTGTATAGCATGTAAATTATATTTCAATAAGGCTGTTAAAAAAAAAGAAGTACAGCTAGAATGCAGCAGATCTAAAGTGCCATCTAGAAGCTGCATATACATTTCAGGTCATTCAAATACTATTTCTCAAACTATCATATGACTCAGTATTGCAATAAAAATGTTTCCATGAGTGTCCTTTTATGTGCAATGGGTCCAATTCAACAGTGGATTATGTAATCACTAATTGGAGGTATAAGTTGAAAAGGACAAAGAGAACATTAGAGTTGCTGAGTGGACAGTTTATTTGCTTTGGGGGTACCCAGTTCAGACAATCTTATCACAAGTCCCTCACACAATCTGGGCACCCTGTAATTGGACATCTGCTGGTATTTTGCCATCCTAGACAGAACACTGGAATATATTAATCAAAAAGGAGAAAAAGGAGAAGGAGAATAGGAAGGGGAGGAAGGGGAGGAAGGAGGGAGAGGTGGAGGAGGAGTAGGAGAAGGAAGAGAAAAAAAGAGGAGGAGGAGGAGGGAGAGGGGGAAGGGAGGAGGAGGAGAAGGAGAAACAAAATGATGGAAACAGTAATAGTACCACATAAAGAACTCACTGAACACGAAGATAGATTTCAGAACGTGTGCCCGTACACGAACATAAATACACACATCTTCATGGCTACACTGAATGAGTTGCCTCAAGATCTCATTTTTTTTTTAATTTTTTTTCAACGTTTTTATTTATTTATGGGACAGACAGAGACAGAGCATGAACGGGGGAGGGGCAGAGAGAGAGGGAGACACAGAATCGGAAACAGGCTCCAGGCTCCGAGCCATCAGCCCAGAGCCTGACGAGGGGCTCGAACTCACGGACCGTGAGATCGTGACCTGGCTGAAGTCGGACGCTTAACCGACTGCGCCACCCAGGCGCCCCAAGATCTCATTTTAAAAGTAAACCAGGTGGTTAGTTCAAAAGCCAAAGAATCATTTGGAATGTTAAAATTATTCAGGAATGTTCATTTAAGGCAGCCCTAGACTCAAGGGACCTATTTTCATCCATGCTAGTTATAAAATGACTCATCCAGGCATGTAGATAAATCTATGAATGCATTTGTTAAAGTTCCAGATGAAGATCTGTCACAATGTTTATGATGTAGTGAGTAATACTTTATGAGGTGAGTGACACTTTGAAACATGAACTTGGGTCAAATGAGAAAGACTGAAAATCTCATTATTTTCCTAAAGAATATCAGATACTTCTCAGAATTAAAGCTATTTCTTGGGGGCTTATCTTTAAAAAAAAATGAAACATGAAGAAAACATTCATTGAATTTGACTTTATAGACAGATAATTTTCTGTTGGTGAATAGAGGATACCTCCAACCCTTTCACACAACCCAATCAATGTGGTGTCCCCAGCACACATTTGGCAGTTTTGTACTCCATGCATAAATGCTTTTTAAGACTTCCAAAATAAACTCACAGAAAGACACAAATACATTTTTAAAGATATCCATAAAATAATGTTATCTAGAATTGTATTTGAATTGTATTTATAGTTACTTTATTTTTATTTCTGATTTTTTCAATACTTATAAAGTAGTGCAAGTCAACTGACAATGAAAATCACCTTTACAAAATATAAAGAGCTTTTTTCTTTAGTCCAAGATATTGACAAAACTCATACAGCATACCAAAGTAAAACACTAATATTTAACTTCCAGAAAAAGTTAAAACTTATAAAATGTTCATAAACCTCTAAAATAGATGATTTTAACTAACAGCATGAAGCTTATGCTTTCTCTAATTTCCAAGCAGGCAAAATATTCATATTGAGTCACTACTCAGTTTCTAAAGAGTTTAGGTCAAAGAATAATACCTACTTCTTAATGGATCTCTGTCATACTCTCCATGCTCAGACACACTGCTGTACCAAACACTGTGCAAATAACTATTTAAGAAAACTGAAATGCCCTCTCTTAGACAAGTATTTAGTTTGGGAATAAAATAAACCAACAAATCATCTCAAATGTTTCCACAGGCTACATGGAGGAGAGGAAAGGATGATTTTTACAGGCCACGCAGCTGAGAGCAAAAGTTGACTCTGGGGTCTACTGTACTACAAGTTTAAACATATTATGCCTTTTGTAAGGCTTTTTGTAAATCACCATAGAAGTTGATTAAAGTGCTTGCCATGGCTGTGTTGACTGCAGACTGCGGAATCATCCCACGCAGATCCGTCTGAATATAGCCTGTCAAAAGACTCTGGTGAGGATTGTCTTTAAGCGGAACACAAAACCAACCACAGGGATGGTTATATCCACGAATAAATTCTGGTCTCTTTTCACTCCAATCAAGACTTACCCCTACAAGGAAATTTTAAATTAACACTTAGCAGTGACTGAGATTAGTCTAAAACTCTCATTAAAAATTATCATCAGTGGGGCGCCTGGGTGGCGCAGTCGGTTGAGCGTCCGACTTCAGCCAGGTCACGATCTCGCGGTCCGGGAGTTCGAGCCCCGCGTCGGGCTCTGGGCTGATGGCTCAGAGCCTGGAGCCTGTTTCCGATTCTGTGTCTCCCTCTCTCTCTGCCCCTCCCCCGTTCATGCTCTGTCTCTCTCTGTCCCAAAAATAAATAAACGTTGAAAAAAAAAAATTAAAAAAAAAAAAAAATTATCATCAGATATCTTGTTTAACTATTTTTCTTCTTATCCATGTAGATGAAAAACTAAGCCCTAAGAGTAACCATGGAAGAATGAAAAAGATAATTACCAACTAGAATTCTGGCAGGGGGCTGGTAAGTAGGTAATGGGGAAAGTTCTAGTCACGTCAGAATAGGTAACATTATGTAATCCTGGTAACTCCGTGGAAACTATGAATCGTGGCTGTAGCATCCAGGCTTCAAGGTACCAAAAATCAAAACTATGGTACCACCACTACTGCCTAAAGGCACTACCACATCCAACTTTGGTACTGGCTGGTTAAGAGTCAACAAGGAGATACTTACCTACAACTGCTAACTCAAGTATATACTACACATAAAAAAAGATCAATTTACCTATAGATCTATTTCAGAGAGCAGGAGCCTTCTAAGAGCAGTATTTTTAATTTTTAGAAGACAACTATTACACAGCTCAAGGAAACAAAAATGCTCTAACACATACCAAGTCTATTCTTTCTATGTATATGACTAAGAAGTTGTTTTCTGAGAGTGACTTAAAAGGAAATCTATTTGCTATATCCCTTTCTCATAGGCAGTCATTTAACTCATATTTGTCAGCCATCACGTGGAAGCTACCATGTAACTGAGAAAAAAAAACTTACCAGAAAGATTCCCAAACCCTACTTGATATTGTTATTTTACTTCCTAGGGTGTTTGCAAAGCTTAAAGTGATTACAAAATAAGTGTGAAGGCTGAAAATACATCTCACGTAGAACGAAACATCCAGCCTAGAAAACTCAAATATTTAAAACAAATGAAAAGAAAGTATAAGGTTTTGATATAATTACCACAGGATAGAAGCCCTTCTTCATAGCCCACAGTGTAGGAGAAATCAACAAACTCTCTTGGGGAAATTATATTCCAAAGCTGGCCAGCAGTAGTATAACGCATCACACAGCAATTCTGAAAGGGAACAGGTAAGAGGTATTACCAAGGAAATATATATTGACTCATGTATCACTAATTAATCTTTAGTAAAAAACTGATACTCATTTAAAATGTATTATAATTATTATTGATAACAATTCTTACAGTGATTCTTACAGGTTTAGATCTCTATTCTAAATATCACTGCTACTGTATGTTTGTGAATAAGATATATGATCAAAACACAAAGAGTTAAGCTGCCCAGTATCCAAATATCTAATTCAATACAGTGGCCTTTTATCCTATATGATATTCAACATGGAAATAGATGGTGTAGACTACAGGTGTTTAAAATAAAATCCACAAATCCATGGACTAAAACACCAAATAGTTCAATAAAGAAATTCAAACATGGCAAGAATGAATTAATAAAAATAGAAAAAGAAGACAACCGACTTTGGGTTCATAAGTCTCTAATGCCTAAGGTGGCATTTTATCTTTGGTCTTTAATTTTGGCTTAATATTAATGGAAAAACATATAATTTTTTATTTGATGGTGAATATGATGGTGGTGTTTTCAGAATTTTAGATTTCAAAGCCTCATTAAAGACGCTGACAATTTTCTTAAGCAGCAAGGGTAGAGCTATTGTGGAAAACAAATTCAGTTCTGACGAATACTCATTAGTTAATAAGAGGAAACTCAAGCTTTTTAAAAGGCATCAAGGATTCCCCTATGAGATCTTTGCCGTGACTACCTACTCTCAAAGCAATGAATACGTGTATGTATACATGCTCATCCTTACATGCTCGCTCTGTCTCTCTGCCTCTCTCTCACAAACACACACACAATCTGAAGTAATGTTTTTAAATAAATACCTCTTCAAAGTGTTCCAAAATATCCATTGAAGTCATTAAGCTGTCCCAATCCAAGCGACAGGGACCGGGGCGTATATGGTCTATTACACTATTGACGACGTCATCTATAACACCTTGGGCTTTGAAACTGGAGAAAGAATATTAAAGTCAAATGCTATTAGAATGAAAAATCTCAGCATGCCCGCATCGTTCAGAGCTAACTTCAAAAAGAGTACAAGTTAACAAAGATTTTTTAAAGGGAGTAAATCCCACTGTTTTTCTGATAAATGTAGTGATGTCAATTATTTTATCAGACTGTACTGTTTGCCCTCAAATCTGATAAGATATGCATGGCAAATTATGTTGGCATAAACATAGTAAAGTACCTTCACGTTACGGGATAGCTGAAAACAGTTGGCAGAACGCTAATGCTTCATTTATTTTGTATGCTGTTCTTTTTTCAGTTATGCTCTAACATGTTATTAGTATACATATATTTTTGCTCTTTCAAAAACTGTTTTATGACAAGAAAAGAAAAATAGGTCACCCAGGAAGAGAACACCGAGGATGGCTCGTGAATTTTATCAGAACTTGGCATGTTTCAAAGGTGGCATTACATATCAATGGGGAAAGGATGTACTATTCCATAAATGGTGCTTTGATTCAACACTTATCCTAATAGAGAAATTAAAAACTGAATCGCTACTTGACAGCATTCAAAACAATTAATTCCAGATAGACTAAAAACCACCACATAAAATTTAAAACTTTGAACTTTGTGAACTCAAGATACAGGGGGATTTCTTGAATACATAAATCACACAAAAACACAAATAATATGAGACAGTTGAAATTAAAAACTTGCATATCACAAATGACAAAATTAGTAAGTTTCTTTTAAAACCAGCACAGACTGGAAGAAGGCATGTGCAACACATATGAACAGACATAATTATTACAGAGAATACATAATTAATTCCTATAAACTAATGAGACAAATATAATCTAAAGAAAAGATGGGCAAAGGATACGGTAAGATTGCCCTGAAATGTCGATAAATTTAGAAAAGATGCTCAACTTCACTCATAATGAAGCAAATAGCAACAAGATACCATCTCATACCCCTGAGATTGGCAGAGATTAAAACCATAACCAGTACTGAATGGAAGGGAATGAGAACTCTCAGACTGCTACCATCACTTTAGAGAGCAATTTGGTTAACGTCTAGTGTAGCCAACCCAGGTGCACCCCAAAGAAAATCACACGTGTGTAGGAGACAAATACCTAAGAAGTTTACTATAGCACTGTACCTTATAAGGGATAACTGACAACAACCTAAAAATTTGTCAGTAGGCAAATTTGCAAATACAGATAAACATATCGCAGCATTTTCTTATGAACATGGAAGAAGAGGTCTACATGTAACAACATGGCTAAATCTTGAAAACACAATGTTAAATGGAAAAAATTAAAGGAAATTACTGAAGGAAACACACACACATATGTGGTCAAAGAATAAAACAGGAATAACATACACTTTAAGATACTAGTTAACTGGGGAGGAAAGAAAAGAGAAGAAATGAGAGATAGACCAGCTTTAACTCTATCAGTAACCTTTCAGAGGGGGGTCTTTCTAAAAGTCTTTTTTCTAAGTGTATTTATTTATTTTCAGGGAGAGAGAGAAGAGAGCATGCATGTGCGTGGGGGAGGGGCAGAGAGAGGGGGAGAGAGAGAATCCCAAGCAGGCTCCACACTGTCAGTGCACAGCCTGGCATGGGGCTCGATCTCAGGAACCACAAAATCATGACCCGAGCTGAAATCAAGAGGAGAACGCTTACCCTACTGAGCCACCCAGGTGCCCCTCTAAAAGTTTTTTTAAAGCATCTGAAGCTGTTTTATCGTCTTGTAAATGCTTCCAGCTCAAACTTACATTGTCTCCCCTATCCTAAATCTGCTCTTCCCTCCTGTGTTCTCTAACTTTGGGTGGATGGTGGGAGTGGGGGCAATACAAGTTAATCCAGTCACCCAAATTAGATATGTGGGATTCAACTTGGACTCTCTCAACCCTATTTCAGTAGTCACAATTAAAGTCACCATGTTTTATCAAGATGACTTCCTAAATGTAAAGTGCTCAGGACAATATTTGGCTCTCAATAAATGTTAGCTATCATTACCTCCACCACCATCTTTAGATCTCTGTCACGTTCACCTGCCCTTATCAACTCCCACTTAGTTAGGCCACTCTGCGTCCAACTCGACACTGCAACCATTTCTAGCTCTTTGGATCACATGTCTCTTTAAGTTTCTTAAAAAAAAAAAAAAGCCAAAGATCTCTTCCCAGGAATATAACATTGACACCAAATTATATATATGATCTTAAGGAAACTTCAAAAAGCTAGCCATGGATTCCCAGGGCAAAACCTCTTCTCTAAACTCTCCACACTCATTTCCATGTTCCATTTTTCGCAGTGCTATCAGAGGAAGTTCAAAATCTTTGAGGACCTGGGAGGTCGGGGTCAGGGGTAAACAAGGGTAAGTGCAATACTGAATTTCTTATTCTAGAATTCAAAAATCCTTCAGACATATGCTCTCCTCACCCTTACTTTATGCTCCAGCTATACGAACACAACTTCTACCTCCCTAAACAAACTCCTTAGAGTGTTTCCCATGTGTGTTTCTGGAGGAGATGCAATCCCCTCTGCCTGGAATACGAATCAGTTCTTCATTCCCTAGGAAATAGCCATTCCTCCTTTAAAGGTCAGCTCATATGCTGACTCTTCTATGAAGTTCTCTCAAATCACCAAGTGTAATGCTCTCTTGGCACTTTTTATGCTTTTCAACCCCTACTGGGAATTGGTGATCTAAATGATTAATTCACACTTGCTTACAATGCTTAATCTGCAACTCCAGTTTCCTGGTCCTTGACATAAATATTGTAGAACTCATCTTTCTGGAAATGCTATCTTTGGTATTATACTTCAGAACAGTTTCATTTTTAAAAGGGCTGAGTCCCAAGGATGTGAACATTCCACTGCAATTACACAAGGCAATTGTCTCCACTGGCTTTAAAAAACAATTATTTTTTTTCTGGTTAAAAGCGTAATTCGTGTTCAACTATATGTAAATACCAAAAAAAATGGAAACAAAAATCACGTATAAAACTGCCATCTAGAGGTATATGTTTGGTGTTAAGTAAAAACATTTATTTTTTATTTTTTTATTTTAGAGACAGAGAACGTGCACACATGTGTGCTCCAGCAAGCAGGGGAAGGGCAGAGGGAAGGCCAGCATCCCAAGCAGGCTTTGCCCTGTCAGCACAGAGCCCGACACGGGGCTCAATCCCACAACCTTGGGATCATGACCTGAGCTGAAATCAAGGGTCAGATGCACATCTGAATGAGCCACCAGGAGCTCCAAGTAAAAACATTTTAATATATAAAAGTATATAGGGGCACCTGGGTGGCTCAGTCGGCTAAGTGGCCAACTTCAGCTCAGGTCATGATCTTGCAGTTTGTGGGTTTGAGCCCTGTGTCGGGCTCTGGTGCTGACAGCTCAAAGCCTAAAGCTTTGGGTTCTGTGTCTCCCTCTCTCTCTGTTCCTCCCCACCTTGCACTCTGTCTCTCTCTCTCTCTCTCTCTCTCTCAAAAATAAACATTAAAAAAATTTTAAAAATATATATATAAAGTCAACTCACAATTATGCTACCTGCAATTTAGTATTCTGCTTTATTCACTTTACATTACATTGTGAGCATTTTCTTGTGTTTTTAAATAATATTTTAAAATGTAGTTTTTAAAGACTGTAAGATACCACGTTTCAAAATTTAACCATTCTCTGACTATTGATTATTCAAGTTGTTTGTAATTTTTAATATTGTAAGTAATGCTGTGATGGAAGAGGTAACTACTCAACTATTATCTTTCTTACGATTTCTTTAAGATGAATTCTTAGAATAAAGTATGCTATAACACTGAGTAAATATAGAAGACTAGAAAGGTCTTATACAACATGCTAAGAAGTTAAGATTTTATCGGCCATTTGATATCATTATTTATGATTCCCTTACCACCACCTCAGTCCACAAGGGATATAGACATTTTAAGACTCTGAATTCATAAGGTTATTTGCTTCCCAGAAAGTTTAAAATATTAAAAGCCAAATTTCATAGGCAATGATGATTTAGTGATCATTTATATATAGGAAATTTGGCAATGTCTTAAGAGCTACATAAAACTAGAAGAATTTACTTACAGGTATCCATTAAATTCTTCTGAAGGTTTTCTCCAAATTGTTACATCTTTCTAGAAAAATAAAAACAGTATATGAACATAAATAATCACCTAGCTAGAAATGTGGACATAAAACCAACAATTTCAAATTGCAGAGCATGTCCTTGCATTAAAATAAAACTTAAGTAAATATTCAAAGAGATACATAGAAGTCTTTTATGCCATCAAATGATCCATATCTGAATTTCTTCTGTTTCCTAAAGTTCTTCACATCTTCCTTAAAGTACAGACCTCCAAAAAAGATTTTTTAGTAGCTTAATGAGATCCAAACACTGTTAAGATCCAGTGAAGGCTCTATCTTGCCAGCCATTATTATTTGCCTCACTCCAATCTTATCTATTTACCATTACTGACACATTTAGACTAAGACAAAAGGAATGCTAAATATTTCATTCTGACCTTGCTCATGTGTATTTTTTTAAATCAAACAAGTCACATCTATTATGGCAGTGCTACCTTGAATTAGTCCCTACATCCTTTTTCTGATCATTTCCCAAGAAATCTTGACCATCAGACAAGCTAGAGTGCTTCACTGCAAGAGTCCTGGATCCAGGGCTACTTCTGTCAACACTCAGCCATGTGATAGTTTGGACAAGTCTCACTGGTAAGAAAGAAAACTAAATGGCCACCCTCACAGGCTTGCTGAAATATCTGAAACTCTTCCAAACTATCCATACATTCTATATGTTGGCTTTAGAAGCTATACTATAGGTTCTTGTTGCCAAGAGTCTATTCTCATGTCCGCTAGCTAAAGCAGTAATGAAAGCAGTACAGGATTATTATGTTTTTGCCTTGGTGAGATGTAAAAACACTGATTTTATTAGCATAATTATCTATCCTGCACATCTTTCCAAAGAATGGTCCTATTTTCCCTTACCATTTTGAAAGTCATCAACCAACTCATTAGATAAAGGATAAACCCCAAATAGAAGTAATTTAAATAATTTACCATTTTCTTGGCAACTCGCCACTTATCGTCTTCAATGCTATGATACTGGATGAGAGTGTTTTTAAGTCTAGTTGCAAAGACAGCAGCATCAGGCAGGCCTTCCATTTTTTTTTCTTTTTTCCTTTTTCCTATTACAGAGACAAGGATTAGCATCAGCAAATATCACAGTTTGACGCAGTAGACAGAGGAGTCTCAAATCTGGCTTCATAACAGCATCACCTGGGGAGCTGTCAAAGATACTTTGATACAAAGATACTTTGATACAAAGATACTTTGATACAAAGATACAAAGATACACCTGAATCCCACCCCAAATCAACTATTCAGAATCTCTGAGAGTAGGACCTGGGCATAGTTTTCCTAAAAGCTTCCAAGATGAATAACACCTAATCAAGGATGAGAATCACATATTTTGAGTTATTAAAATTATTCCTATAAAAATAAAACACAATCCTATTTCCCTTCCTAATAGAATATAACAAAAAGATATACATTATTGAATTCTAGATAACTTAAAGAAAAAAAAAATTGCTGTTTCCAAACTATAAAAATAAATACACAAGGAATAAATTCTTTAAAAAAGTCCTTAGAGCTTCAGCCATTAAAATTTTAATTTAACATCCAACAGATTTAGGACTCATTCTAGCAAACAAATGAACAAGAAGCACAAGCAGAAACCTGCTCATACCTTCTTTCAGGATAGGGCTACAGAACTCTGAACAATTTCAAAAGTTTGAAGAACTGTACCATTTTCAATATTTTATTTCATTCAGTGAGATGTTATAGGACTCAGTAAGGTATCTGTGTAAGGAAGGAGGTCATAGGAAGACTTTTAGAACTACTAGTACAGCATAAACAAATGGTTCATAATTTTAAGGCAATAATTTTAACTGTATAAAAAATAAAAGTACTATATTATTCACAATTCCAAAGATAAGCTACTATTCAACAATGTTTTTAAAGAGCAATGATTACTAGCCTTAAAGATAATAAACTTAATATAATGAGGGGTTCTGTAATGTGTTGGTTTTAACACATTGCTGAAAATTCTTTGATATACTTCCCATCAAGAAGTGGTCTGTGACTGCATGACTTTGTAGGCTGGGTTAGAAAAGTCCATGCAGTTCTGCAGGTTTCTTTTAGAATAATCGCTCCGGGAGTCTTTGATTAACATGCAAGCATGCAAAAAATCTGGCTATCCTGAGGCTGAAGTGTGGAAAGACCAAAGGAGAGAGGGGGAAATGGGGAGATACAGCACCCCAAAGTCCCAGATCCAGAAGCCTAGTTAGAGCTTCATCCCTGTGGGTACCTCTTGCTTCCCCAGGCTTCCCTCAATTTGGCTCAGTCTTCCCCATCTTAAGAATTTATTTTTACAGTGGAAATTGAGCTAGTAGCTCAAAGTCAAAGCCTCACTGCCTACAATATTCTTGTCCTAATGGTTTTCTTTCTGTCCCTCAAATAGGCCAAGCCTGTCACTGACTTTGGGCTTTGCACTTGCTATTTCTATTCATGCATTATTAAATCCCAAATCTGAGCATGACTAATAACAACTTGTAATGACAACTTCATTTTAAACCTCCTGTCTTAAATACAGCCTTCTACAAGTCGTTATTATATCCTTCTTTTATTTTCTTCGTGGTGCTTATCACATTATGAAATTAACCTGTTTATTTATTGGTGTACTGTATTCTACTCTTTCACCATCGCATCTTCAACTAACAAAGCAAGGGCCTTTTGTCTGCCTTATTTACCAGTGTTTCCCCACCAACTAGAACACTGCCTGGAACACAACAGGTCCTTAATATTTGTTGAAGTGTGTTTGCTTCAAAACAAGAATTGTTTTATTTTAATTTTGTGTCCTTTTGGTGCCTTGGTGCACTCCAGTAAAAAGGATAAAGGAGAAAAAGCTTCTGGGCAAAAGCTGCACAGTTTACAGAACCATCAAGTTACTACTACAAAGGAGATCAAGAAAAGATCTACATGAAATGTCAAGCCTCAAACCTCTATGGGAATGAGGCTGTAATTCTCAAGGACAAATGCATACATCAGGATCACCTTTGTTACATTTTGTAGTAGTTGTTGCTGTTAACAAAGATTCCCTCCCTAGTCTCTTCTGAGTGCTCTTTTTAACCAAGCCTTGTTCTTAGGCTTGTCCTTGGCCCCCAAGGTTCAGTTCTATCAAGAATCCTGCTGAGCCAGTTTACAAAAACCCCTCACCCTCAAAAATTCCTCAACCTACCCTTGATCTTGTCACACTGCCCTGTGTTCAGCACGAATCCTATGTCAATTTAGCCAGAATTCCCCTTCCCCCTAATGTTTCCTCTTAGCAATTTTCCATCCACTGGACACCCACCCCACCCTGCTCTTTGACAACAAATCCCCACTTGTCTCTGTTGTATTCAGAATGGACTGTAGTTCTACACTGAGGTTTATTCTCCATTATTGCAATAGTTCTTGAATAAGATTTGCCTTTACCACTTTAACTTCTGTCTGCCTCTGGTTTTCTTTGACACTGTTTTTAGATGTTGCATTTCAGGGCCCAGCGCAGATAGTGCGATTCAGTGGCCCTGATCTGGAGCAGCCCCCCATAATCTAAGTTCGTTAAAAAGCCTTGCTAATTATTCTGTTATCCAGCCAGGGGTGAGAACCACCGGTCTAAAAACTAAAGGTGACAAAAATAAATCAATATTGTAGTCAATATTTAAATAGCATAAAGCAGGGCACACAAGACATTCAAAATGATAAACAATAAGATGATATAGAACTGTAGGGGAGGAAAAAAACCTTTTTCTCTACTCTCTTAGGTTCTGTCTCTGAGACCTGCAAATTAAATTGACAAAGGTATATTAACAGGAGAAAAGGCATATATATTTTATTCACTATTTATATTTTAATTTTTATGTGCATAGAAGCCTTCACAATAAAGAAATGGAGATCCAAAAAAGCAGTTAGACCTAGGGCTTATACACCATTTTAACAAAGGGTGATAAATTGTGGAAAAGTGATAAAACAAAGGAAGAGGGGGCTGGGCTTCTAGTGGTGGTAAATTATGAGGAAATATATGAGAGAAAACTAATAGAAGATAAGAGTTATTGTAGTAAAGTTTGTTTGTTCAGACAATCACGGTGTCAACTCTGTGCCCAGTGATGAGTTGTCCTCCTTCCGGTATAGGAGAGAAGAGAAGGAAGACCTTCACAAAGGGAAGTTTATGTCCTACTTTTAGGCAGTAATGGGAGGGAAAACAGCTCTTTCTGCATTTGCTGCTGACTGCCTTCAGCTCAAAATAATCCCTATTCCAAAGTGGTATATTTTGGGGTGGTATATCCTTTCAGAAACATAGCAAAGTATATATATAAAATTCAATAATGTAGAATTTAGGATCTATGTAAGTGATGCAAAATATAGATCTCACCCAAAGACTAAAAAGTGGATGATCTCATTCAAAAAGTATGCCAGTCAGGAATATATCCGATTTCCCCTCAAGAGACTGCTGACTTGGTAGCCAGTACAACGACCTTAATCAAGGGTATGTTACAAACAAGCACAAATTCTTAGAGAAGACTTGAAAAACCAATCTATTACTAGGATCGTTATGATCAAACAATATTCTGTAAACCCAAAGGCTGCCTGCCAGGTTCCTGTGGTTGGCAGATAAGATATTTTTTCAAACTCCTTGATAGAAATCAAAGATGAAATGTAAAGATGCTATTACCATTGACAACATCATCTTTGTGCAAATCCATTACACAAATGTGAGCCAGAAAAACTACCTATAAAGATGAGAATCTGAATCTTTGAGGTGCTTACCTTAGTAATCTTTCTGATCGCTCTTACTGATCACTATAAAGTCCAAACTCCTTAATATGGCTTATGGACCCTTTTATGATCTGGCTGAGCTTTATTGCCTAATTTCTACTCTTCTTTCCTGGACTCCTATAACAACTAGGTTAGCTTCCCCCTACCCCACCAACGTTTGTCACGGCAACTCTGTAATTATTCACTTGTCATCTTTTCCAATTTAACTGTAAATCTTTTGGGGCAAGAAGTGTGACTTGCTCAATGTTATCCTCCTTAGGTCTACTAACATGCAGTAGGAACCCAGTAAATAAAAGTGGGAAAAAGAGGTAGATGGTGAGCTACTAGCCTCACTTATGAAATACCTCAAGATATCTAAGATGGGCCCATTTACACCAATCATCCTTGAGCTTCTGAATGACTAAAACATTCTTTGCCATAATTAAATACAGCAATTTCTCAAGTAAGTCTACTATTTGCCAAATATCTAGCATATACCAGGTCCTAGAACTAAAGAAATGGTTATCATCCAGTCTTTGCTCTCAAATTTGACTTATTCCACCTTTTAAATAAATGTTTAATTGCAACAACAACAAAAGCTAAAACATTAAAAACTAGTAATAAGCCTCTTTTAAGGGTACTGGAGTAGGAGGTAGGAAAGGCAAACAATAAGTGTAAACTCAGAAAGCTCTTTTTTAGCCCAATGAAGTATTTAACCAGGCAGTTCATTCTTGCATGGACATTTTTCATCAAGATTAAGTCCAAAAGAGAATATGGCTACTGTCTGAACTATCTGTGTGTGGGCAGGCATAACATCTCTCTCAAAACATATTCCCGAATTGGGGGTTGGGCAGTATGGAGTTATTATCAAGGTCTTGATGCTCTCCTAATAAAGCAGGGTACTCACATTAATTGAAAGGAAAGTATACAATATGCTCTACTAAAATCTCCACCTGTGAAGAATGTGAGAAAAATGTTCTAAATACTATTCTGAACTCCCTCTTACTAATTCTTTTATTCCCTTTCTTGACCTACATCAGAAACTCTCCAATTCCATCACTTAACATTTCAGAGAACAGGTACCACTTAATCATATCAGAATCTAGCAGTTCCTTAGAAAAGGTTATCTACTTTTGAGAGTTCTATTCCTCAGTGCTCAGTAATATCCACCTTCATTTTTTTCCTTACTTTAGACTAAACTTTTTGTTCATGTTTCCTATGCCCATGTCTTTGCAATAATCACTAGTGTAGACAGTGGCTGCCATCATAAAGCGGGCAGCCTGCCCAAGTTAAAAATTGTCTTGTGGCCATCTCTCAGCATCATAGGTCTGTGACCAATACAACTCCAATTTTCATTAAATTTACATCACAAGGAGATGGCCATAGGTTCTATTTTAAATATGAAACATAATAAACACTTTAACCTCTAATATAAAGTGAAATGTTGTAAAAACCTGTACTTATGTAATATGAAGTCAGAACTCACTATTGAAAGAAACTATTAACAGAATTGTTTAAACTTCAATTTCCCAATTGATAAGGGTTTCATTTAGTTGAATAGCTTCAATTTAGCATGCCATAGATTTTCCCCCAAGATATTGTGCAAACCAAGGCCTTGTAAATTATTTTTCCACCTAACATAAACATTTCAGCATATCCTTGATTTCCAATCAATTTTGAATTTGTAATTTAGCTTTTCAAACTCAAAAACAGTAGGTTCTCATTTTTGAGACTGGCTATAGCAAGAATCCAACAGAAAAGCCTACTTCTACAATGTCACCAATGTCCCTCTGTTTCAGTGCTCACTTTAGCTTTAGTATTAGCTTTACAGCCATGTTGAGACTTTTTACAACAGTTAAGGCAATATTAAATTCTAATGTTACCTCGGGACACCTGGGTGGCTCAGTAGGTGAAGCAACCAACTCTTGGTTTGGGCTCAGATCATCTCACAGTGTGTGAGTTCGATCCCCCATGGGGGTTCTGCACTGACAGCGCAGAGTCTGCTTGGGATTCTCTGTTTCCCTCTCTCTCAAAATAAATAAGTAAACTTAAAAAATTCTAATGATATTTCAGCTTTAAGTCTGAGTCCAAGGTCATCTTTGAACTCCTAATGCTCTAATCCTTTACTTAAAATAATAATAGCTAACATTTATTGATCACTTACTATGTGACCAGTCTTCCTGTCCACTTTAAATTGTATTATTTCATTTAATCCTCATAAACAACCTTCAAAGCTGATCCTATTATACTGATTTTACAAAGTAGTAACAAAGAAATTAAGTCACTTTGTCCATAATCACACAGCTAATAAGCGATAGAACCAGAATTCCAACCCTGAGCTTCTGCCTTCACAGTCTAAAGGTCTATTCTGTAAAACACCGGAAGTTGATCACAAGCTAGAAGAGACTTTACATTAAAAAAATATGACATCATACTGAATTTGTCATTTTGTCTTGGCTCCTGATCCCAAAATAGCTCAGGTAATCTTTCTTAACTATACATTAGGGATAATAACACTAAATTACTGGGGATTTAGATGAATTAATACATTTAGTATCGGGGTTGGAAGATTGTTAAGCACCGGAAAACGCTGCCTCTTATCAGTATCACTCAGTCAGAGCTTGGTGTGGGAAGATGGGACCCTACGTTGTCTGTGCATCTACTACGAACCAGGAAGCACTGTGCCCACTCACAGAACGCGACCTCAGTGAATCTTCACTGCGGCCCTGGACGCGAGGTTTTTACTGCCCCTTCCCCTTGTAAGCGACGCAGAAACGCCTAGTGGGCATCCAAGTCCTTAAGCAGGTGAGCGGTGCCGAGAGGCGAGGTGCAAGCATTGGGGTCCTTCCGGGGATGCCTTACCTCCCTCACTTGTAAGGTCTGCACCACCCGGGCGCCGGCCTCCGCCGCCCCGCTGCCCGGAGCAGCTCCGGAAAACGCCCCGGACAGGGCGCCCCGGTCGCCCCTGTCGCCTTCCCTCCCGGCCGCCTCACTTCCGCCGTTACTCCGCGCCTCCACCCACAGCTCCCTGAGATAAAGCGAGGCGCGGTGAGCGGCTAGGCGCGACGGGCCGCACCGCACTCACGGCTTGGGGCAACACTGACGCTCGGGAGCTCCCTCAGCTTCCACGCCAAGCAGAGCCGGCAGAGCCAATGGGCTACGGGCCACCTCCGCCATTGCAGCCAATTGGAAGGTACCAAGTATTTCCGCAGCTCGAACCCGGGCGCACCGGAGAGCAAGTGGCCGAAGTTGGCCTGGGCAACGTGTGTTTGCTTGGATTGGCTGGCGCGGCAGCGTACGGAACGCTGATTGGTCGCCAGGAAATGGAATGATTCCTCGTGAGTGTGGGCTGGCAGGAACCCGGCAGGGTTCCCTGGGTGTGTGGGAAGGCGGGTGGGTCGGGCTCCGGCGGGGTATCCCTCGGCGGATTAATGGCGCAAGAATTTTGCAAGAGTAAATCCAACTGGGAGAAATACGAACGCCAGAGGGAGTGAGTGATGACAGTGAGGGATGAGGCTGGCCTAAATTTAGAGGGCTGTGGAGATGTAGTATCACGCAGCTGCAGCACCCCTCCCAGGACCAAAAAAGTCTGGTAAAAAAGAGAAAGCACCCGTGCAGAGGATGACAAATCCTTCGGCTTTCCGCTTCCTCTGGCTTAGAATCGGCAGCGCTGAATGAGAAAGCCTATAAACAAAGTCACTGCGACCCTGCGAATTGATCTTTCGCCAAACATTGTCCTCAGAAAAGGGAGATCAGAAAGACCACCTTGAAAATAGAGAAGGGGTGTGGCAGGTGGCTTTCGCAGCCTCATGAAGTATTCTGGTTTTCGTTTACTTGAAGATGAGTAACATTTCCAGTGGCTGTGAAGTCACGGATCGGATAGGATGTTTGACAAATCACTAAATGTCAGGTGTTTACAAATTATATTTACTAGGATATGTAGTTTGAGGACCATGAGAAGGAATACAATGCTACACCATTAGTCATTTTGGACAGACTTGCAATGAGAACAAATAATAATTCATAAATTTTTAAATGAATGTCGTTAAAAGAATCACCAAACACCACTTGGTAGTTATTATTGGCAGATTTTTAAAATCCTACCTCATTATTAAATCTTACCTCATCCATAGAAGGAATAATAATTTGGCTGGTGATTACTTTTCCATTATCTCACATATAATCATCAGTAAAACTCACCTACCTTGAGGGGGCTCTTCAGTGGATTTAGTGAGGTATAAAGTATGTATAAGACCTTATACAAAGCACTTTTCCACAACCATCTGAAATTATTATCCAAATATGTATGCAAACAAGGATCACGATAATTGGCCAATAATAACAAGCAAGTGAATAGAGCCCCAAGCATAACTCTTAAGGCAGATTACTTAATTTCTGAGTAGCTGAACTGGAATTTAGTTCAGGTCTGGAGAACTCGAATACGGGACCTCTCAACCCCCACAAAATTCAAACTGTGTTTCACCTCTCTGTCAGGCACCTGTGCACAGCGGTGAGGACCAGAAATGAAAGACCTAATCCCTGCCCGGAAGGTTTACACAGTTGAACGGTGGAGAGGAACAAGTCCTCAACAAGTAGAAAATTAGGACCTCTTGTTATTAGGATTCAGCTGTAAGCACATTGCTCAGCAGCTCTGTGAATTCTCTTCACAGAACCGGGTAGAACATGTTTAAAAGAAAATTAACTTGGCTTTTGTTGTTGTTGCTATTGTGATTGTTAGGGGGTGCTGCATAAAGTCATTACATCCCATTTATGCCCAGTAGGGAAGTTTTTCTTTGCCTTTTCTTCTTCATCTGTTGTTGTGATTTTTGGTTAGAAAGAAGTTGGAGGTAATTAGAAACCACCCTATATCTATCAAAGTGGACTTGTACTGGAAAGCAAAACTGCGGGTTCAGAAAAAAAGAACATATTATCATCTGGAGCTGTTATTGATGGCTTACTGTAGACCAGGCACAGTGCTAAGCATTTTACACATATTAGCTCATTTAATCCTGGTAACAACCCTGTAAGGTATGCACTATTACTACTGTACTCATAGGGGAACTGTAGTATATAGGGCCACAAACGAGTCCCCCACCCCCAAGTAGTTTGAAAATGGGGAAGTAAGAACACCTGGGTGGCTCAGTTGGCTAAGCAACCTACTCGGGCCATGATCTCACGGTTCATGGGATGGAGCCCTGTGTGGGACTCTTGTGCTGACAGCCCTGAGCCTGCTTGGGATTTTCTCCCACTCTCTCTCTGCTCCTCCCCCTGCTCACTCTCGCTCGCTCTCTCTCAAAAGATAAATAAATAAACATTAAAAAAAAAAAGAAAATAAAATGGGGAAATAATCTTTCCATCTCGAGTTCAAGTATAAAAGAGACCTAATGTACTTGACTAGCTGTATGGAAGGTCACCCTAAAGCCACCAAACAGCTTCCCTGCCAAGCCCTGACTGTAATCAGATTGAATATATTAACATAGCTAAAGAAAAAATTTCCAAAAAGAAAAACAAAAAAATTGTAAGACACAGAAAAAATATATCCAGGTGACAATAAATCTAGAAGTAAAACAAACAAATAAATAATAAAAACACACATGCACAAATATCCCCCAGCTACTTGAAAATTAAAAAATCAATTATCAGGGAATACTATGAAAAATTATATGCCAACAAATTGGACAACCTGGAAGAAATGGACAAATTCCTGAACACCCACACTCTTCCAAAACTCAATCAGGAGGAAATAGAAAGCTTGAACAGACCCATAACCAGCGAAGAAATTGAATCGGTTATCAAAAATCTCCCAACAAATAAGAGTCCAGGACCAGATGGCTTCCCAGGGGAGTTCTACCAGACGTTTAAAGCAGAGATAATACCTATCCTTCTCAAGCTATTCCAAGAAATAGAAAGGGAAGGAAAACTTCCAGACTCATTCTATGAAGCCAGTATTACTTTGATTCCTAAACCAGACAGAGACCCAGTAAAAAAGAGAACTACAGGCCAATATCCCTGAGGAATATGGATGCAAAAATTCTCAATAAGATACTAGCAAATCGAATTCAACGGCATATAAAAAGAATTATTCACCATGATCAAGTGGGATTCATTCCTGGGATGCAGGGCTGGTTCAACATTGGCAAATCAATCAACGTGATACATCACATTAACAAAAAAAAAGAGAAAAACCATATGATCCTGTCAATCGATGCAGAAAAGGCCTTTGACAAAATCCAGCACCCTTTCTTAATAAAAACCCTTGAGAAAGTCGGGATAGAAGGAACATACTTAAAGATCATAAAAGCCATTTATGAAAAGCCCACAGCTAACATCATCCTCAATGGGGAAACACTGAGAGCTTTTTCCCTGAGATCAGGAACACGACAGGGATGCCCACTCTCACCACTGTTGTTTAACATAGTGCTGGAAGTTCTAGCATCAGCAATCAGACAACAAAAGGAAATCAAAGGCATCAAAATTGGCAAAGATGAAGTCAAGCTTTTGCTTTTTGCAGATGACATGATATTATACATGGAAAATCCGATAGACTCCACCAGAAGTCTGCTAGAACTGATACATGAATTCAACAAAGTTTTAGGATACAAAATCAATGTACAGAAATCAGTTGCATTCTTATACACTAACAATGAAGCAACAGAAAGACAAATAAAGAAACTGATCCCATTCACAATTGCACCAAGAAGCATAAAATACCTAGGAATAAATCTAACCAAAGATGTAAAGGATCTGTATGCTGAAAACTAT